TACCACTACCACTAAATTTCGTCCTACAGCTTGTACTTCAAACGCCCTGAACGCATTCGAGAAAATAATTTTACACAAAGTTGCTTTCACGGTTGAACACACATTCTGTGTATTCTTGCAAACCATGGAGTCCCTACACCTACTACTGTCCTTCTAAATGGCTATTTTTCTTTTCGAGAATGGTTTGCACCATACGGTGGTAAATCCTCCTTAGACTTGACTTCCGAATGAAAGGTTCTTTAGGGAGCTATTAGCTTGTCTCCTTTCTCCTTTTCCATTGCCTCAGCCTTCATGTCTGTTTGCAATGACTTCTCGTTGATCAAATACCCTGATTAATTTATTTTTGACTTACCCTATCCCAAGAACTCTGTTTTCACCACTATCTCTACTTAAAGAGTTGTCTTCTGCACACAACTTTTCCATGAACCCATTTAAATGTGTTGATGTTTTACCTTCCTTCCGTAAGTTCAGATAATAACCTGAATCTCGTGAGCTGTGTGAGCCGCTATTCATTAACAATAAGCCCCTCAGTTGGAAAACATCAGTTAAATAGTTGGATGTTATTCGTAACGATTCCCTTTCTTGGCCCGAGCACATCAACAATGTCTTTGTAAAATTCCGAAGACTTTCTTTTTTGTCTTACGCCTAAGGCGCTTATCCATTACCTCCTCCTTGCATGCATCTTACCACACTGTCTCCCCAATGATTTTTCCTGGCTCATTACAAAAGGATGCGTGTGACATCCAAATCACTCATTTATCCAAGTGTTGTGGTTTACCCAGAACTTATATAATTCATCATACTTTCTCCCAACACAACAAAGTCTATAACAAACGGGATCACAAAAAACTGTCTGACTCTTGTGATCCTCGCATTATCTCAATGTATTTCAATCTCCTCTACTCGCTCTAAGGTCAAATACGTTGAAGGACTCACAAAAGCGTACAATTCCTCGATAGTTCCTCATTTGCCCGCATTTCGTCACCCGGAATGGATTTTACAAGACTCCGTAAACCTGGTGTATTTATATGCCCCTTCATTATCGTGGGGCATTTCGCAGCTAAAATTGCACCACATGGTGTAATACAGCAATTTATTGACTTGACAAGTGCGAATTTGGAGAACAGCATGACTGCGGAACAAGTGGCAGGAACAGAATTGGAAGAGCCACAAGAAGATATATGATCAACACGAACACCCACAGAGTACCCTCACCTGAATTATACCAGTAATGGCCGTTGTGGTTGCCGTGATAAACATTCAAGAGTGTTACTGGTTGCGATTTTTGGCTGTAGACTTTCATTTCGGTCACCTAATCTCGGTAATGTGAAATCTGGTTATTCTTCAAATAGATAGAACTGACTTGACTTGACATATTCAATTCTTGAACGTCAGGCTCAAAGTCACTAACCAGCCTTGGAAAATATCTGCATACTTTGAAGGTGCAGAACACAGCGAAAGGAGCTGGAGAACGGGTTAGTCTGTCCACACTTTGCGCTTTCTATGTACAATCGACCAAACCGACGATACCCTCAGCGTACACTAGATCGCATAGCTTTTCCTCAAATGGTCATTTAATTTCAACATTCGGCGACCGCTTAAGGCCTGCTGTACTACTTAGTTTTCGAACACAAAATTTACTGATAACAAAGCTCACCGTATTTTGCCGTGATATCAAGCATAGGGAGTGAGAAGTCTGTAGGTGGATGACTCTCTTGTAAGGGCAACAAGAGGGGTCGAACCTAGAAGATTGGGAATCAAACACAAATATGGTTAAAGGAATATAATTGTCTGAAACTAGCGGGATTAAAGAACAAAGGCAAAGCCGAAAGAACTAAAAAAAGCACAGAGAAACAGTCACTAAGATAAACGAAAGCGCAGACAGATAGACTGACGGACAAACGGACAGAACAACTGACCCTCGACAAACTGCTATGACTATTGGCTTTGTGATAAACAAAAACCGTCGCTATCATAATCTTACGCATGGTATATGTTTAGTGGGTTCCTGCATAGATGCTGAGAACCTTCATATTAACAGGTACCTTCATTTAGATAACAATTTTATCTAACAGACATCATCTGTACATAGTCATCAGCAGGAGCATCCTAACCTGTTCAGTCACGGCCGAGTAAATTCGGCGGGAGAATACTGTTCATACGCGACTGCCACACTCGGTATAAACTGTTAGAAAAAAAAACTAATTCTACCTAAAACTGACTATTTTCGAGTATTTTTAATTA